TGGTCATAATAGTACAGAACCTTAAAGTTCTAAAGACAGAACCCTATTTTCTATTCTATTTCTATTTTCTAGCTCTAGAAAGAGTTACTATCAGCACATTCCAGTAATAGGCATGTACTCAAAACTTAAATAACATTTCAGAGGAAAGAAGGAAAACAGATACCAAAAGGTAGGGGGAAAAAAGATGAAAAAAGGTAGCAAAAAGAACTAGAAACCTTAAAAAAATCCATCCAGCTTAATTACATCCAGCTATAATTCCTAACACAAGTCATTTCTCTTAAAAGATGTTTAAAATTAGATGATTAACAATTTAATTTACTCAGCAGTTGTTGAATACCTATATTCAAGCTATTATAGTAGATGCAGTATAAGTCAGGAGACTAAATAAACAGCTCTATCTCGAAGAACTTTACACTCTAATAGGAAAAGAAAACTTTAAGCAAACAGCTGCAGCATGAGAAACATCTTTAAAACTTCCCGGGTAAGTTCAAGTTATTTTAAAATAAAGAAAATGAAAATTTAAAGGCCTGTTATAACTTTCAGCTTATAATACACTATACTGCCAGATTTAAATGAAATTTAAAGTTTTAATAAAGTATATGATATTCTCAGTTCATGGCAAAAAGAAGAGATTCTAAGGATCGAATCTTTAAAGACAATTAGGTCCTAGAAGTTTACTTACCTTTAAAACATTCCCTTCACAAAAGTAGTGACTACCTTAACAGAGAGATTATTCTCTTGGGTAACTCACTGACAGATCTGATTACTTTCCTTTTTAAGGACTAAAAAGAACTGCATGCTTATTATTTGAATAATTAAACCAAGACTGGGAAGAAATACTCCTTCAAAATGAAATGGTGGGGAGGGAGAAAAAAGAAAATTGGTAATTCAGTAAACCATTTCACAGAAAGCCTAAACCACTCGTATGGTCCACAGAACTATTGAAAGTAGTTCGCCTTCCCCATTACAGAAGCCAAGGATGATAAGTAGTCCGGAAGAAAAAGCAAAAGGGTATTATCTCCTGACCTACAACTTTTCACAGTCCAACAGTTCAATGAAGACAAAGAAAATCATGCTGGAATATGTGTTTCCAAATTGTAACAATAAACAACTTTTCGCAGGTGGTTGAAGTTAAGCATCTCACCAAGGATATAAGCGTAAGAAATAATGCTGCAAAATATTAAGTTTAACTCAAATAATAGAATTGATAGATGAATAAATTATTTTGAACATTAAAAAAAACTTAAGCCAGTCTCAGAGAATGGGAACATAAAAATAGATGAATATTGAAATGATCTCTCCCTAAAAATTCTTTGTTCAATTGAACATACATTTAATATGCTGGGAATACTTTTTCTCAGAATGAAACAGGGGCGAGAGTGACAGCACAGTGGGTAAGGCGCTGGCCTTGCACATGGCTGACCCAGGTTCAATCCTGGCCATTCCATATGGTCCCTCGAGCACCATGGAGTGATTCCTGAATGCACAGCCAGGAGTAAGCCCTGAGCATTGCCATATGTGGCCCAAAATCAAACAAATAAAAAAGAGTGAAACAAAACTCCTTCCTCGAGTCCCTGAGTACCACATGTCACCCAAAAACAAACTTAAAAAAAAATCCAACAAATTCAGACTATTTCCCTTTTTCCTTCCATCTACATATGATTTTCACAAGGTCTAGCCACTGGACAACATAGAGAGAGAAAAACACTTGGAAATGTCTAAGCAGAAAGACCAAGGAAGCTAAATCCCTGGTGTCACTAGTTTCCCCTCAGCCCGGGACTGCCTTGCTCCATGATCTTGATGTTGAGAAAACAAAAACTTCTATTTCGTTTGAGCCTTATTTGGGAGTCTCTTTTATGCACAGTAAGTACAATTCCTAACTCCTCGTCCCATTAGAATTTATTTTCTACAGAGCAGCCAGAGACGATTTGAAAGCAGAAGTCAAATCTTATTATTGGGTGTCCATCACACTTTCAACTAAATGTAGCTGCTTAATTTGGCCAATGAGGACTTCAATCTGGCCCTACTTTTCCACCAATCTGCATAGCATCCTTCACCTGCTAAGCGTACACTCCGCTTCTTTCCTCCCTCTCCTCCCCACTAGAAAATAGACGTGAAGCAACAACTGTCCTCAGTATGCAAATCTCAGCACCTGGCACGCAGCAAGACCACAGTAAATATGGGGCTAGGGCGGGGGGGGGGGGGGGGGGGGGGGGGATGGAGGGGGAGGGGAGAGAGAGGGAAAGAAAGAGGGAGAGAGGGAGAGGGAGGGAGAGAGGAAAAGAGAGAGGAAGAGAGGGAGAGAGAGAAAGGGAGACAGGGAGACAGAGGGAGAGGGAGAGAGAGGGAAAGAGGGAGAGAGGGAAACAAAAAGGGAGAGAGGAGTGGAGGAGGAGGGGGAGGGAGGGAGGGAGGGAGAGGGAGGGAGAGAGAGGGAGAGAGGGAGAGGGAGAGAGGGGGAGAGAGAGAGAGAGAGAGAGAGAGAGAGAGAGAGAGAGAGAGAGACTAGGGCAAGGGCGATAGTACAGCAAGTAAAGCATTTGCCTTGGATGCGATCAACCTGGATTCATTCAAGTTGATTCCCATGTACCACCAGGAGTGATCCTCAATTACAGAGCCAAGAGTAAGTCTTGAGCACCATTGGGTGTGGCCCAAAAGTAAGCAAACAAATAATAGGCTAAAGATAAGGGGTGTGTGTGTGTGTGTGTGTGTGTGTGTGTGTGTGTGTGTGTGTAAAGGATCTAGGGTATATACTAAATTGTTAACACTAATTACCTCTAGGACAGTGAGAGAAATTAGAAAAAGAGGGACTTTCGTTTGTTTTACTTTATTTATTATTATTTGTATAATATATGGCAGGAATAACATTTAGATGTACTTGGAACAGAAGTGTATTAAGATGCATTCACATATCCATATAAATCCATTATACTCAGATATAATCCAAACCAGAGCAAGGTGGGAGGACCATGATGATTAAATAAACAACTTTTGAAAGGATTCAATTAAGGGAATAAAATTTCTTACTAAACTTTTAATAGCTCTCATAAAGGCTTTACTTTCACCTAAAATAGTAAGAACACCACATAAAAAGTCTGTCAGTAGTATGTTATACATCAAATTAGCTACAATGAATTGTGAAGAATTAATTTCCACTTACTATCCTTTGCTCGGCAGGAATTTTTAAAGCTCTTCCCTCCCCTATATATCTTTCCAGAGAAGTATACTTACACTATTTCATGTCAGAAAATATGCATTTGCAGGAAATCTGCATTCTCTGTTGGGAGAGACCCCAACAGGCAGTGCGCAGGCCCACGTGGTGCCCAGACTGTACCTCAAAGCACGTGCTCGGTCGTGCGGCTGTCTCTGCTGTCTCTCCAGGCTGTCTCAGAGACATCTTTTATCTATCACAGCCCTCATCTAAGTATCTAATGTCTTTTAATAATCTTACAACTGGGGGTGGGGTGGGAACCTGGGGACATTGGTGGAGGGAAGTTGACATTGCTGGTGGGATTGGCATAGAACACTGTATCGATGAAGCTCTCCTATGAATAACTGTATGGATCATAGTTTCTTAATAAAAACTAAGTCACTGTCCTCCCGCTGTTCATTGATTTGCTCGAGCGGTCCCAGTAACGTCTCCATTTTGAGACTTGTTACTGTGTTTGGCATACTGAATACCTCATGGGTAGCTCGCCAAAGCTCTGCTGAGCGGGCGAGACACTCTCGGTAGCTTGCCGGGCTCTCCGAGAGGGGCAGAGGAATCGAACCGAGCGCGGCCAGGGTGGCTGCGCGCAAGGCAAACGCCCTACCGCTGTGCTATCGCTCCAGCCCAATAAAAACTAAATAAGCCAAAAATAGTATTCGTGATCAACTGATGACAAAAATAGTTTAACAACTTGACTGAATCGTATTTTATATAATCCATTCAAGTATACAGTTCAATGTACCAAGCTATGGAACATAACAGATCAGTTTAAAAATCAGTTTAGACCACTGCAGTGCCCATTCACGGCCCTTCCTCGCCCTGTCCTTCAGCCATCAATCTATCTTGGGACGTTTGTCTACTCTGCACATTTTCCATAAGTAGAATCACGCAATGTATGTTATCTTAGATCTCGTTTCACTCAACATTTTTTAAAAGTCCATGCATTAGTGGTTCGTTTCTTTTTATTTCTCAGCAATATTCCATCACAAAGCATGGATATGCTCTACTAGGGCCTCCTGACTCTATGACTTTAATTTCCATTCTGCTGGTTGTACAATGGATACTGGATGATTTGGGAACTTTAGAGGGAAAAGTTAACTTTTATCTAACTTTTATTTAACCCAAATGACACTGGCGAATATTTTTTTAAATCATAGTTATTTATACAAAATGAGGTGTCTTGGGCTGGCAAACAACATATGTCACTGACGCCTCTTACAACTTTTTCTAGCCTTTTCTCCAACTAGAAATAGATACTGACAAGGTTTCTTTCTCTCTCTCAAGCATAAAAAACTCCTACTCTTACTACACCATCTTCTTTTCTTCTTTTTTTTTCCTTTCCTCCTCCTTTTTCTACTTCCCAACTCCTTCTGACTTTCAAACTAACACTTAAATGCCAATAATACCTCTCTTGGCATCCAATTTTTGGAGCCAGTGTGTACTTTGGCTCTACGAGTTACGTTTTCATCTGTGAAATGACAGTTTTAAAAAGGGTACCTCCAAAAGCAGCCCCCAAGCACTGAGAGGAAGAGGCCTAAACACTGCCAGGTGTGGCCCCCAAAACGACGACAACAAAACCCTAAATATAAATTTTAAAGAAGAGTTCTTAGTTAAGGCTGGCTTTCATCATAACTAGAGAATCTGACTGCACGGTTTTAAGATACTGGAAGGAGAAAGGGGTTCTGCATTGTGAAATTTTAAAACCCTAGTCAATCAAAACTGCCACCAAACATTCTTTAAAGTTACTGTTTCAAGTTATCCGAAGGCAAATGTTATCATGTGTGGACTCTACCTTTCTCAGGCTTTCATATTCCTCACGAAGTTCCCCAGGCTTGCTTAATTTGATTGGTGCTCTGAAGATAAATTCTGAAAGAAAGGAGAATGAAACGCTTTTATCAGGATTTTCTAGGGAGGAACCCAGCCCCTGTCCTATGAGCTCCCCACATTAGACACTGCACAGAAATTCTGGACGTCTTAATTTGAGTATTTGTTTCCTCATTTTTCATCTACTTAATAACCTGTATAAGTCAGACACAGTTCTAAGCACCGGGGAGAAGCTGTGACATTTAAGTCCTTGCTCTTACACAACTTACAATCTTCCGGAGGAAAACAGACAACAAACAAGTGCATGTGCACAGTACAACGAGTAAGGTAATGAATGCCATGTAGGAAAATAAGCATAGGAGGCAGAAAAGAATTGTTTTATGCAGATTCTAAAAGCATCTCCCTGTTAAAGGAACAGGTTAAGAGACTATCAGAAGGGGCTGGAGCAATAGCACAGCGGGTAGGGTGTTTGCCTTGCACGAGGCAGACCCGGGTTCAATTCCCAGCATCCCATATGGTCCCCTGAGCACCGCCAGGGGTAATTCCTGAGTGCAAAGCCAGCCAGGAGTAACCCCTGTGCATCACCTGGTGTGACCCAAAAAGCAAAAAAAAAAAAAAAAAAAAAAAAAAACCAGAGAGAGAGATTATCAGAAAAGAACTATATTTAAAATTCTGGATTCAATATCACCTAGTATAGCACTGTATAGCACTGTCCTCCCATTGTTCATCGATTTGCTCGAGCGGGCACCAGTAACGTCTCCATTATGAGACTTGTTACTGTTGTTTCTGGCATATCAAATATGTCACCAAGTAATATTTTAAATAAACTGAAGTTTTATTCATAGATATATTTTTTCCAATGAGTTATTTTCCTGTGTATATTTAGCATATAACCTTATTTTCATCCTAAAAGCAGTTTTAATCATACTCTTCAACATATCAAAGTTCTCCAAATACTTATCACAACTTTATCTTTCTAAAACACTGTATCTCTCCAACCCTGAGTATTCAGTCACTACACACACACCCCACATATTTTTTAAACTGTTAAGCTATTTTTTTCAGCTGAAATTTTGCTTTGTACCCTTCTCTATATATAGTTTTAAATCTGAGATACTGTGGTCCACTGAGGCACACAACAGATGTTGATTACAAAAGCAGGTGATAAGAATCCATTAAGAACAGGAAAAAGGGCCAAAAAATAGTTTAGGGTTCAGGAATGTATACCCTGGATATGCAGGGGCCCAAATGTGATCCCCATTACAACATACTCACCCCCAGCATCACAGGGGGTAGTCCTGAAGGCCCCCAAGCAGCATCACAGGTTATTCTAGTGGTCCCCGATACCAACTGGGGTGGCCCTAGTAGCCCCCATATGTGGGGCCCTAACTGTGAAATGACTAGCCTCCTAGTGGGCTAAGTATGGCTGAGAGACACCCCCAAACTCTCTGAGCACTGCTTAGGAAACCTTCCCCAAAACAGGAATGAAAGGTAAATCCTAAATGTTTTATATATACATATAAAACATATATATATACATACACATATGTTATGTATGTATATATCACTGTATCCTAAATCCTAAATGTTTTATATATACATATAAAACATATATGTACATACACATATATGTTATGTATGTATATATCACTGTATCACTGTCCTCCCGTTGTTCATCGATTTACTCGAGCAGGCACCAATAACATCTCTATTCGCCCCAGCCCTGAGATTTTTGCAGTCTCTCCTTACTCATCTTCCCCAACAAGTATTGGAGGCTCTTTCAGGGTCAGGGAAATGAGACCCATTATTGTTACTGTTTTTGCATATTGAATATACCACGGGTAGCTTGCCAGGCTCTGCTGTGCAGGCTGGGTACTCTCAGTTAGTTTGCCAGGCTCTCCAAGAGGGAGTGTATATATATATATATATATATTTATAAAGAAGGGTGAAAGTATAATCCTCTACCGCCTTAAATGCAGATATTTCTACACACCCTGTATTGTATTTGTATGTATTTTAGAGCTCTAAAGACAGCACTGATTCTAATGTCTACTAACAATTATACATGCATTTGAGGTTGGTATGTATTTGTTATGTAAAAATTATGCCCATCAAAAAGCTGACTTCAGTCCTCTAAGTTCTTTCAACCACTTCAGGCCCTCCCTCAGAAACACTGATCTTAAAACAGATGCAGAAAACAAGAACTTAAAACTCTACCAAGTAAATGACATCGGTCAGACCCTGGGTTTGGGAGGCAAACCACAACTTTACCTGCTTAAAAGAAGTAATAAGTCCTGGCAGAACTATTTTAATCCTACATCAAAAGCACCCTTCTCAAGAAATATGATCTTTAAAGAAAATTAGGTCCTTAAAACAAAACAAAACAAAAAAACAGCTCATGCAATCTATTTATGGAGAACCTATTATGTGTAAGACACTTCACATACATTTTCTCATTGAATCTTCACGGGAACTTTATAAGAATGATGCCCACTTTAAAATTATGAAAACAAGAATTTTATAACTCGCCCAAGTCACAGAACTAGTACAAGGCTAAAGAAAGAGATAAGCATTAGTAGGAATAGAGGAAAATTAAAAGATTTGAAAGATCTCATATTGAAAGTATTTGAAAAAAGAATATATTAAAATCATGAACTTGCATGAACCTACAACAGCAAAAAAAATAGAAAGATTATTAAAAGAAATTAAAACATTTTAAGTTTGGGCAAGAAATTTTACCATACCACAACTGAAATTAGACAAAAGATAGACCAAATAATAAAGATAAAGAAAAACTAATAAAATTAACAGCCATGTCTATTACATTTACATAATCAATAAACAGACTATATACTCCTTAAAGCAAACAAGGAACAAATAAAACTACACTAGGTCATAGGGCCAGAACAACAGTACAGCGGGAGGGCACTTGCCTTGCACACAGCCAAGCCAGGTTCAATCCCTGACATCTCATATGGTTCCCCAAGCACCACCAGGAGAGTAATTCCTGAGTATGCGCCAGGACTGTAAGCCCTAAGCATAGCTGGGTGTGTTCCAAAAAGCCAAAGCCAAAACCAAAACAAAACATACTAGGTCACAAGGAAGTGATACGTTTTTTTCAAATAATTCATATTGTACAAATTGCTTTGGAATCCCTGTTGTCATTTTCAAAGATAAGTTTCCCCGATACCTGGGTCATTATTCTGCATTACTTATATACTTTCTCAATAAATTCTCTTTCTGCTTGTATTTGCCAGAGTAGATTTTTGCTAATTCAAATTAACACCCCTGGTTCATTCTATTTTTTTTTCACATGGTGCCATAAAATAACTTCTAAACCCACCCCTAGTAAAACTAATCAAAGGGAAAACTAGAGAGAAGACAAAGTAGTATTAAGTATAAAAGAGAGAGAACCAAAATATAGACTTCATAATTAAATATTTAGATTATTAAGATGAAAATCTACAATAAATGATCTTGCATGTGTATCCCTTTATATGTCTGCAAGTATTTCCATAAACTATTGGAGTACAAATTAGGAGTCAGAGAATAGGCACTTTGGGGCTGGGGGATGTGTGACTGAAGTGGCAGAGTCTGATATATGTGAGTATTGTTGAGATGAAGGAACTGTGGTTTGCTTTTTCTTTATCTGCAGGTATAATTTATTTTAAAAAATCATCAATAGTACAGGCACATCCATGAACAGTGAAATTCCCTTTGGGGATTTTAAGGATCAGAGAAGGATATTTATTGTTTTCAAGCTCAAACTTCACATGTCAAGTCAAGCAACATTCTATCTGTAATCTGAATCAGCCTCGACTTATTGAAGGCCACTAGCAGGAGGCAATTTATACTTACCAAAACGAGTTATAATACATATTAGCATAATCTTAGATTAATTATGTTTTCATTTTGGAAGTTCTCGCCACAGCAATCAGACAAGAAAAAAGATAGCAAAGGGATCCAAATTGGAAAAGATAAAAGCCAAACTATCACTATTTGCAGGTGACATAATATATATTGAAAATTCTAAATTTAGACTCCACCAAAAAATTCTTAGAAACAATAAACCAATACAGTATGGTAGCAGGTTACAAAATTAATACACAAAAGTCTGATGCATTTCTGTATGGTAATAGTGAAGTAGAAGAAAATACAGAGGTATAAAAAAAAATCATACAACTTGCCATGATATATTATGGATAGAACTAGAGGGTATCATGCTGAGTGAAGTTAGTTAGAAGGAAAGGGACAGATACAAAATGAGCTCTCTCATATGTGGGACTTAAAGGTACACAGTAATTAAAGGCCAAAGGCAGCAGACGTGGAAAGTAGGTCTAGAGGACTGACCTGAGTTAGAATCAGAGGGTGGGGGAGGGGTCAGGGGTTGAAGGGGAGGAGCCTTTGGGACCTTGGTGGAAGGAAGCAGGAAATCTGGTCATCAGTGTGGTGTTGGAATGATGTATGTATGAAACCATCATTAACAATATTGTAAATCACAGTATCTCAATAAAGATTTAAGATTAATGATACTTAATGGTTTAAGAACAGTGGTATGGTGCCGTGAGCAGGTCAACCGATACCTGTAGGACAAGTGCATCAGCAGCCTGATGGTGTCTTCACTTCCTGATAACCCAAAATTGCAGTTATGGTCAGGCCCCAACAACTTGGGACCAAGTTTATCAAAAAATTAAATGGCCAAAAGTTAGGTATGTGGGAGCCACTCTCACAAACCACCTCCAGCTCAGTGATACAAGCTCATTTATCGACCTTATTTCAGAGACCCATAAACCAACCCCGAAAGAGATCAAAAGCCACAATTAATCTTGGACCCACACATGGCTGAACAGACAGGGGTAAATCAGAGGGGTGTGGTGCCTGGTGCCTGCCCAAGCAGAGTCCCCAGCAGCCACTTGCTTCCACAATCCAAAATTGCTGCTGCACCCCCAGCCTGATTCTACCATCTCAGGATAGACCTCACCAAGATATAATCTGCTGAAAATTCTGGTATGTGGGTTTTGTGACTGAAATCTCCAGGCTTT